AAACGTCTATTAATTGCAGAACTATTAGTCCTCTCGTTATTTATGCCTCCCTATCGACAATACCGTCTAGTTCGCGTTAGATGTAAGTATAGCATATTGTAACAAAAGCAAATATCAACTTGTTGCATAGAAGAATCAACAAAAAGCGTCAGCATAACGTCAGCTGTTATTATCGTACAAAAATAACAGAGATTTAAGTATTAATATCCACCGATAAATTAAAAATTGCAGAAGATCTGCTGTATCCTGTTTAAAGCATTCCGCTTTATTTTCATTGTAACGTATGCGATTACAATTATAAGTTTCGTAAAAGTAACAATACGTCAATAAACAATAAAGAAGTTATATTATAAAAAAATTATATTAATCTTTTCATGTTCTCTTTCTATTCTTTTTATACATGATAAGCCTGTAATACTATGTATTATTTTAATTCTGCAACGTCGGCGATGCGCAATCGGAAATTCATGCGATCGTAGTGCACAATAAACGTTCCCATCCGCGAGACAATGTTATTTTTAAAGACCTTTCAAGTATGCAGGCAGTATACATGTTTAACACCTCACTGCAGTTAAAGTCAAGAGATTTTCCCCGAGTAAAATTATAAGGATACTGTACGATAGATTTGAAACGTGTGTGAAAGCTGAATAGCCTTCGCTGTAAAACAATTTTCGGAATAGCGTGGGAGCAGACAAACATCCGTGATATTTTCCTTTTGCGCATACAGGCGGAATTTGCGACAAGTTTTGCGATTCGCGAAAGCGATTTTAGTGAAAGCGCGAGTGCCTACTGTCGTTTCTCTGTCGTCCTATTCTTCCGCGTGCTTCAGAATTTCGCTCCATCTATTTCCAGCGTAGTTCCGTATTGTTTGAAAAAAATCACCGCGGCCCTTCGCACGTCACCATTTACGAGGAAATTATTATTGTCATGCGATGCATCCTGTTTCACAACGTGCAATTTTCTTTTCTCTATCGTTTTCTAACGTCTTTGTAAATAAAACGGTAAGCGTCAGCTGATTCACTCTAAATGTCGCAGAAGAAATTTGTCGACACAGACTTGTATTTATAAACAAATAATAGTAAGTAACATTAAGTGAAATAGATGGAGAATATATGCAAACAATAGTACGTAATTTAGGAAGTAATGAAATTTTCGAGATTCCAATTGCGAGTCAATTATAGTCATATAAATGAAACGATATAAAATAATCACGCAATTTCACAACATAGATGAGATTTAAGCCGGATGTCTCGCCGGTTGTTCTTTTTATCCGGAATTGTGATGACGTTTTAGCACGCAATCGTAAATATGCCGTCGCTTCTCGCGCACGTAAGTACACGCCTGTATCTCAAAGCAGCGAAATCTAAAAAGAGCTATTTATAATTGCAGAGGCAATTATGCGGCAGTACATCGTATTTAGTTCCTGGTCGACTTTCCTATATTTCAGTATATTACAATTAGTACGAAATATAATTGCAGCTATTCGACTATCACGTTCAGTCGTCGAGAGTGCGAATCACATTGATTAAAAATAAAATCGGAGTTATAATTGCCGAATATAATTAATAATAATTTAATTTCAAGACTATAAATAGAATTTTTAGTCTATAATTTAATTTAGCATCGCATCGAAAATCAAACAGTTACTTCCTAGTCGACATCAATTAGAAATAACAATAATATTAATGTTATCATTTCGATACTTAATAGTATAACTTTTTTATGTAACATCATATGTTACATTGCATTTATATTGTCAGTGAAATTACACATTAATCACGTTATTTGAGTTTGTATCGAGTGAATTATTCTTCTAAAAGTTTCTTTAATCAATTATGTATCTTGAAACAAAATAAGAATTACAAAAGTAAGCAAATTTAGTAGATGTTGCTCAATGAAATTATAAATATTCCAATAAATTCGTTTTTGTAATTCATCTCACTTTTAAGTACATTGATCGATCTCTTGATATAAAAGTCATGGACATATAAATTCTACATAATAATGTAAGATTTATATATCGAAGTCCTTAATTTAGGAACCGCCAACATAATTCAGAAATATCAAAAATTCGAAGCAGATGCAACGTTTACGAGCGAGCATCCCACGAGATAGCGTTGTCGGTTTTTCCAAAATAATCGCATCGAGATTATCGTGGCGTCGCGAGCGTCCGCTCGGTGCACACCAGATAAGATAAATTTAACATTTTCTCTTGAGCATTATACCTCTGGGTGACCGACAGCGATCGAAACGACGGTTTGCCCTTTATTGTAGTAGCGCTCTATAGCGTCACCTAACCTCTCTCGCACGCGCGCATGCGATCTAACCTCTTCATGTTCATTCGCGAGGAAGAGGAAAAGACCGAATTATTTTCGCAACGCGTTGCCGCCGCGGCTCCGGAGTTCGTAATCAAACGAGTATCTTTTTCCTCTCTCTCCCTCTTTTCTCAAGAAAAACGTTTTCTTTTGTTATACTAAAATTTATATTAGTACATTTTATCATAATTCAATTTTATATACTTCTTAAATTTGCAGTATTTTTGTAATTTGTACGCTTGAGAGGATCTGATCTATGCGAAATAGATTTTTTCTCTCTTTTTTTCTTTCCTGAAAGCACACCTCTCGTATATTTCCGCGTGTCTGTTTATCCATTCCGATCCGGTTTATCCATTTTATGTGGTTCTCTACGTCGCGCGAGAGCGAGAGCGAGAGCGAGAGGAACGGCCAATTCCTCGACCAGTTAACATCGATTAGCTCCGTCAAGCGCCCTCCGACCATGTCACGTAGTGCACACTACGCTCCGCACTAGATAGATCCGTTATAGGTACTTCGTATACCTACATAATCGAACGTATGCGAACGTCGCGTACGACTAATCGAAACAGCGAAGAGAAAACGCGAAATCGTTTGGGAACAAAACTGGCGTGCAACTGTTTGTCGTCATCACTGCAAATTGCGTGCAAATGAAAAACAAATAAATAATAAATTCGTATCGGTCACTGCGTTTAGCGCGAAATCTAAGCTCGTCAACTTCGCGAAGCGTGAAGTAAAGAAGGAAGTAAAATCACGAGAATTCGAATAAACTGATACAATCTCGTTGGCTCGAGCTCGGATTTCGACACTGTAGAAACGAGAGCGACTTTTATGCTCGTCAATGATAAGAAAATTGGAGCAAATCGAGTCTAAGGCAGGCACACGTATACTTTCTCTCTTTTTGTGTTTTTTTTTTTATTAAATTATTTTTTCATTTCTTCATTTAATTTTTTTATTTTCTTTACTTCATGAATTTGGTTCTTAATATTCTTCATATTTTTGTTGTTAATCATGTGTTGTTTTCAGTGCTTGAGAGGATGCAATTCTAGGACACCTAATAAATAACGATCTCTATCTCTCTTTCTCTCGAGTCTGTGTGTTGCTACGGAAAATTTACCGCGTCCGTTTCACCGGTTAGAACACGGACGTCGGGTCCTCTTTTATTCCCAGGTCCGGACACGCAGCTGCCTAAAGGACAAAAAGGAAAAGACAAAGTATCTGGACTCTCTCTCTCTCTCTCTCTCTCTCTCTCTCTCTCTCTCGGTGGCGCGATCAGAAAAATCAGGCGGACGCTGCGCTGATTGGTCAAGAAGCCTCGCGTGTATCAACGGCACGTTTTTCCTATTATTATTAAGGATTCGCTTAATCCGCGCCGCGAATTAGAACGAAAATCTCGGCTCCTGATCTCGCGACGACGCGGAACATGCCGGGTACGCGAGAATACGCGCGCCCCTGGGACTTTCTCCTAGCAGTGCTAACACACCCACAGCGGCCCTGCGAGGCTCAGGAACGCCGACCGTTCACAGGCGCACTTCCTCGCCAAGTGAAACAATCCCTGATTCTCTGCGGAGTAGGTTTGCCCGCGTTGCTTGATAGCTCCAAACGTTTCTTCATTTAAATTGTTTACATTTAAAACGAGATAAAAGAATCCGTTCATTCTTCAGAGTGAGATTTAGTCTAAAAATTTTAGAGTATGTTACATTACATTGAGAAATTTTTCCTCAGAAAGGACCTTTTGGAATGTAGCCTCGGATGTTAAAAAGAGAAAAATCAAAGATATTACTAGTATAACAAGTATAAAAAGTATAAGCAACGTGAATAAACCCAGCTATTGGCACGCCATCAACATCGGCATGTGATTCCCCACTCGACATCTCTGCTTCATTTATATATATATATATATATATGTATATACATTCTATATATAGCCGGGAATAAAGTATATAAATATAGAATATATATATATGTAATATATTATATACTATATAAAATTGGTCTGTCTTTTTCAGTTGGAACCTCTGACACATTGTTCATTTTTCTTTTTTTCTCGTTGAACAGAAAAGCAAGAAAGATACAAAAAGTTCACTGAAGAGAACAGACTTGCGTATACAACGAACTGAAAAACGGACGATTGCACTCGAATAATAATTTAATTCGCAATCCGAAAAATAGAAATATTTTATCGCCTCCGATATTTCGCGCTCTCATTCCGATCAAAGATCTTTCTTTTTCTTCTCATCTCTCGTCTGAAATGTCAGTCCCCACAGACACTCCGACGTATCGCGCTCCCGAGAGATCGACGTTAGAAAGAAGAATAGAAAGCTGATGCTCCGGAGGCCAAATGGCAAACGTCAGCCGTATACGGTACAATATGGTAACCGGCACATCGCGACAGCGGAAATGCGGCATAGCAGTCACAGCAGGCAGGGCCGCTTCTACGTCTTACATAAGCATCCGATCTCTTTCGAGCTGTCAGTTATTCGTCTTCGAATCTGCGCATATTTATTGCTTCCGCGCGACCCGACGTCTCGTCATCGACGGGCGTATGTACGTTCACGTATACGTGCACGTCAGTAAGTACGCGTTACGACGTGTATTTTGCTCCGGGACGTCTTGTAAATGGTATTTCTACGTGCGCGAAATACGGACGGTCGTGAAATGCGTAATATCGCGCAAATGATCTCTAACCTGCGAGACGATACGTTGCGTGCCAGCGTTCGTGTCCACAACGTCAGTCTCGCTTGTCACACGGCAAAATCACACTTTTTTTCACACACTCAAAAACCACATCTCGTTACGATCACAGTGTTCTTATTGAAAATGCGTTAAGAGAGAACGTGCGTTGCCGTTAAATAGGGCATCTAGCGTCGGGGTCGGGGATTTCTCGGACGGCTCCCAAAAGATGGCAGTGATGGCATACGTTTCGACAGTTCTGTAGACATTGTAGTAGAGATTGGTAGATTAACTTTCGATAATTTTAAAAAGCCCATTCGATTGCTAAATATTTGCTAATGTTTTTTTTATTGGCATATTAATTATTTTGGGCAGAAAATCAAAAATAAAATTTGGATAAGTGCGACTGGATGTAATCATCATTTTGAACCTTTATCTTATGATTTCATGTGGACACTTCGATGTTAAAACGTTTGTTAGTCTGCCAATTCCGTGCATGAGATTATTATTTTCGTTTTATCGATAAATTGTTCTATATTCTATTCATTAATGACATGTAATTTATCTAGTAACTTTAGTCCTAGTTACTTCCAAGCGACTCGATGCGCATGCACCATTCTTATTTAGGGAGAAATCACATGGTGCGGAAAACGACTGCGGAATAGAGAAATGCGTCATAAAAGCAACCAGCGTTATTCTACGTTATTCCGAATAGCGTTAATTGATTGTTTCAATGATCATTCTTTGTTCCGCAGCCCTTTTCCGCACCGTGTGATTTCACTCTTATACCATGATTTTTTCCAAGTGGATGATGATTATTTCCTGTCTTCCTATTGTCTGTACTTTACATTGTGTTTCCGGCTTAACATTTTCATACTCCGTGACTAGACGGCGCGCATGTAGCCGACGCCATGCTGTAAAGCCTGAGGGTCAATTATGTATGTACTTTGAAAATTACAAAAGTGATAAAGTTCACTAGAATATTCATAATTTAATTGATCAATATCTAGTGAATTTACTTACTTTTGTAATTTTCACCTTTTACGGTACACAATCGACTCTCAGATCTACAATTGCGTAAACGTAATTGTAAGTATAAAAAATCGTAGTTGTAAAAATTCATCAATCACATGATCAAATTCATGAATCAAATTCATATCGGATATTCTTTTCGTATTCTACTGTGATTCATCAATTCTTATAATTACAACTACTTACAACTATAATTTCCGTTGCATTGTATTCGACAGAGAGAAAAACTCCACGAAGAGCAAGCTGGGCTCTACTTCTCGTCAAGTTTCACGTCATCAACGCGAAAGAAAGTTAAGTGATTCATTGGACACTATATAAGAACTTCGTTGCAGAAAAAAACCAATCCCAAATTTTTCGGACTATTCTTATAACAACGCCCATCTTGGCAACGAATTAACAATTGTCACCCTTTTCCAAATTTTTATAAATAATGCAAATATTATGCAATTACCGAATATTTTAATGATAACTTAGTTGATATTAATCACAATTTCACAATAGTATATAAGATCAAGATTTGCACGCAAAATATATTCTTCAAATTATTACAAAATACAGCATTTTAACAAAATAAAAAAACATGGATAGAATAACATTTATCGAAGGATAGTTACAAATGATTATATTTCAAAGTAATAAAATACATACGTCATATAATTATAATTTATATATTTATTATATATGTGAGTACAAAAATTCTCAGGTACCAACTGTTCAAGACAAATCGAACCGATAACGATGAGATTTAAATTTTATTCATCTTATTTTGATTTTATAATCGAATATTATTAATATAAAATTTATATCAATCTTTTTTTTTCTGCAATATTTACTCAAATATAGTCAAGTAATTAAATAGGATTATCTAAATAATTAATGTAATATTTAGATAATTACAGCTATCAAAATCTTATTGATATCGGGGTACCCAATCGATTCGTCTTGAATCTTTAAGTACGCACATTTTTAATTACGTCCATTATTACAATAAATCATTTAAATAAACATGAATCTTTTTGATAAAAAATTTTATCAGATAAATATTAGGTGTTGGAATTAATTCGTAGCGTTTTACAAGTGATGGGAAGTACTTTCATTAATGTATTTTTTAATGCTCATGTGAAATAAATAACATTCTTTCATTAAAAACGCTACGAATTAATTCCAACACCTAATAGAAGTTAAAAATTTCTTGCATAATATATAAATTGCGTATATATTTCATTATATAAATTAATCTAAAAAATTTTTTAATTAATGTTTTGGAATAAAGGGATGTCCAGTATCTGAAAACAGTTTCTTAAAAGAAACTAAAGATTAAAATAAAAAATATATTCATTTGTAACCACATTTTTTCTTAAAGAAATCGCAAAACCGATTACAAAACTTGTAATTTTAATTTATTTAATGTAATTCACTTATCTATGAACAATTGCTATCCATGTTCAATCCGTTAAATCTTATTATTGTCAAAGCAGTATTAATGTTAATTAATGAAAGAATATTTAATGAAAAGATAAATTCTTGTTTCAGAATATACTATATTTAATTGATTTCATAATTGGACTTTAAAAAATTATATTGTCGTTGTCGTTAACTTATTGCCGAAATCACTGCTTTCAGGAAATATAAAAAAAAACCTTTAATTAATTAATCGATTAATTTCAGCCCTGCAACGGCCGAGAATCCCCAGATTCAATAAAGCATCGAAATAGGCATTTCGGATGAATACTACAGAAATTGACGAGAAATAATTTTCCTCATTAAAAATCATTACTCCCCGTCGGTACGAATTATAATATGAGTATTTACTAATGTTCATATAATGTTGCTACAAAAAACAGTGGCGAAGCACTAATTATTATAATTATTGCACTATGAACGTGTAAATAACGTAATATTTGCATTAACGAAATAGTTGCTTTTGCCTACAAATTGATTGCCTACAATATCGTTTGCCTACATTACTTTTGCCGACAGTCCGTTTATACACAAAAATTATTGCTTACATGCACTTTTGCGCGCAAATAAAACTTTCAGAAGCAGAGTTACTTTTGCCTGCATATGTATTATTGTCTATAGCTCGATTGCCTGCAAGCACTTTTGCGCATAAATATAAAATTAAAGTTAAGTAAGAAAATAATTTATATTTTTAGGAAATCTATCATGTGAACAATGAGGTGTCAGCGTAGACAATGTCCGCTTGGAATATTTTTCCAAAAAATCTAACCCTAACGTAATCCATTTTTTAGTGTGAGATGGCTCTCATTTCGCGGAAGGTTGTGAGCAATAATGTATGTAGGCAATGATACATATAGACAATCGAGTTGTAGGCAATAATAATGTTGGCAAAAATAACTTTGTTTCTAAAATTTTTATTTGTGTGCAAAAGTGCATGTAGGCAATAATTTTTATGTGCAAACGAACTGTCGGCAAAAGTGATATAGGCAAACGATATTGTAGGCAACGGAATCCCCCCTGCATAAACTTTTAACGATTTAACATATTTAATACGAAACATAATTTAAGAATTCGATTAATAAATATTTAATATTATATACTTGACGAATACGTTTCATCATGAGAGCGAGATAAAATAAGGCGCGAATTTTGCGAATTCTATAACAAGGTCTAATAAAAAATTTGCAACTTCACAAAAATATATTAAATTTACTTATTACATTGTAATAATTATTTAAGATGAATGTTAAATTTTGTGAATAAAAATTACACATATCATCATTGTCTTCAGTTAATTGTTATAATACATGCGATATAACTATAACTTTTAATTTTAAATAAAATATATAAAAATAAGGAATTTTTATTAACAATCTTTTGGTAACAAAAAAATGTTAAAGACATTCCAAAACAAATATTATTAATTAAATATGTATCGATTTTTGTTTTATTAACTGCATCCGGTTACATAATAAACATTATTTACAATTATTACATAAATTACAATTACAATACATAATATTCACAAAAATATTTTATATTATCTCTAAGAATTTATTTAAACATAATATAATTTTTAAGTTATTATTATTAAAATTTAATAATAAGGCAGTTATATATTATTATTGTACTTTATATAATAATAAATAATTTAATATTTAATACAATAATAACAAATGTATAGACTTATAATTATTATAAATAAATTATTTATATTTTGTTAATAGGATCTTCTCAACTCAAAATATTACATTTTTACCAGACCGAATCCCTACCTATCCATATTTCAATCTATATTCTTATTTGCTCATATTTTTTCCTATCCATTTACCTACTCGTATATTTCAACATAATACAAAAAATCTTTAATTAAAACCGCGACAAAAAGATACGCGACTTACTAAGGGAACCGATTTGTTGGTTAATCCAACAGAATACCTGAAATCTACTCGAGCGATAAATCTAAGAATCAGAGTTTCAAATATATTAATCGCGCGCGATTAAAATTTAATGGGATTTTTAAAATCTCGTACATACAAGAAAATAAAGGAAAATATAGAGAAAATCAAATAAATAAATAAAGAATTTTGTATATTACCTTATACTCCACGTGATCAAAATTTACCACTTACCTTTCGTCATATTCTTCCTTCTTTCTTCAGGATTGAACTTATCTTTCGTCGCATCTGACCATAGACTTGATCACATTTCAAAAATCGATAAGACAGAGACGTCCTTGCTGTCAGATTATTATTATCGCCGACAGACAGAATGTTACGTTCAATTCGGATGTACGACAATTCGGACATACACGAGAAGATCGTATCGAAAAATTCGAACTAAAATGATTTAAAAAGAATAATGATAATAACCGTAAAAATTGATGTACAAAACTGAAAATATGTTCAAAAATTTTATTACTTGCATGAGAATTTTAATCGAATATTTCTCCACGTTGTTTTAACTTGGAATTTTATTTAAGTTAAAAAGAATTTACTTGTATTATATGTATATTACCGTTCTAAACAAAAAATTTTACATATTTCACGAAAAATAGAAATTTATAATGTAACATTCAAAAATCATAAAATAATAAAGTAATAGAAAATTTGATAATGCAATAGTGAAGATATAATGCATGTTTATATGATAAGCACCTTCAAAGCATATCAATTAAATATACAAAATAAAATAAATGACATGAGATTAAAAAAAAAACTAAACATATAGTATCTGATAATACAATATTATAATTAATTATCGCGTTGCTACGAATAACATCAATAATTATAATCTTACCGATATAGATATGTTTCGTTATTTCTCATTTCATATTCAGATCATTTTTAATATTACAATTGATATAAATTAAATTGTAAAATAAATTACATGTAAAATTATAATTACGAATAAAAGAGAATTGTCGAATGGAATCGGTGGATCAAGGTATTATTTATTTTTATAGAATAAAATATGTATTTTGGAATATGACAGCTTGGAGATATATTATACATAAGATAAAGAGAAATAAGTCACAATCAAGTATATAATTATACGTATTATATTGATAAGCAATATTTAAAAAACATATTATTAATGTGTGCAGTCTGCAGTTATATAATATATTAAGTTTTAAGTAATTGAACAAAGGACGTTAATAAAACTATTGATAGAATGGAAACATTAAGAAGAATAATTTAATCACCAAATCACTTTTTAAATCTCTTTAAAAGTAATTATAATATCAAAAGCAAAAATAAGTAACAATCATCGATGTGAACAAACGAACGAATTACAACTTCCTATTTGTAACAGTGACCAAGTCGAACAATGATGATATTCGTGACATAAGATTCTAATTCACATAAATCTTACTCGTTTTTTCTCGTAAAACATTTCCTCACTAATAATTTAACAACTGTAAAAATGTCATCGGTCATCAACTAATACTGAAATCATTAATAAATGGAATCCAAATCTTA